GGTTTTATAAGACCATTTGGAGAGAGAGTCAAGCGCTTGTTGGAGAAAATGGGCTGTAGTTTTAATTTGTGTTCCGCTGCAGTAGATGTTGCAGTCATCTGCGAAGAGAATATATTTTACAGGATTGGGAARGTTCTTGCATATGACATTAATGGCAACCAGAAAAAAAGTGACACTGAGTACAGACCCTTGAGGGAATCCATTATCAATGGAGTGAGTAGATGAGATCTTATCATAAATGTTAACATTAAATGTTCGGTCTGTTAAGAAGTTTTTAATAAAGTTAAAGAGGTTGCCGTTAACTTTCCACGAGTGGAGAATAGTTAGCACTCTTTTTTTCCAGACAGTGTCATACGCTTTTGAGATGTCCAATGCTATTGTGATTAGATGTTGATTGCGTCTGTACGCAGAGCAAATGTCGGTGTGTAGCGTAGATAAAGTATCTATCGTTGAGTGATTTTTTCTGAAGCCGCATTGTTCTTTGGTGATAAATTTGGATGATTCTAGGAACCAGATTAAACGTTTGTTTATTATTTTTTCAATTAGTTTACTTAGAGTACTAATCAATGATATCGGTCTGTAGTTTTCTATATCGCATTTGTTTTTGTTCGGTTTAGGGATGAGTATTATATTTGCATTGCGCCATTGGTTTGGAAAGATCCCCTGGGTCCATATGATATTATATATTTGGAGGAGGGTTTTCAGTYCCATTTGAGGAAGATTTTTTATAAAGATGTATGGAATGTTGTCCGGTCCAAGGCTTTTACTATTGCAGCTTTGCAGAGCTGTGAGTAGCTCTGAGTTGTCGAGGTATCTGTTGAAGTCTTCGTTGTTTTGGTTGGAAAGCGATTCGGGAATGTCAAGAGAACGATTTCTGAGGGTAATGAAGTTCGAATTATAATTTTCGTCACTGTTKTTTTTGTGGAAAAAGTGTGGCATTCAGTGGCATTTTGTGTTAATATTAGTTTGTCTTGATTGTATTGAAGAGTGTCCGGTATGGTGTTGTATTGATTGCCTCTAATGGAATTTATTTTGTTCCATATAATATTTGCGGGAATTTTGTGTTTTATACTTGAAGTAGAATTTTGCCAAGAAAGGGTTTTGCTTTTTTTGTGATATAGCGTGCTATAGCTCTATTTTTGTTTTAATTGAATGTGGTCTATGGTGGATTTAGTTTTTTTGTAATGGTTAAGACTTTTTTATAGGTTTTGATAGCCTGTTTGCATTCTTTATTCCACCACGGGACAGTTTTTTTGGTGTTTTGGTATGTTTTTAGTCCTAATGATAGGTTGGCTGCGTCTAGAATGGTRTTTGTAAATGTTGTGATTATGGAATCTATTTCTAGTTGGTTAACATTTATATTTAAATTGAGAGGGTTTTGAGTTAGTTCATATTCGATTTTCTCCAAGAAGAGATCCCAGTTTGCGTTTTTAATATTCCATTTAGTAGAATGTTTTTTTTGATTAGCATGGTTATGGTATTGGATTCCTATAGGCCAGTGGTCACTGTCGCTGTATGCAGTGAGTACTTGCCAGTCAAATAGTGTTGAGGAGTTAGTGTTTGTGATCGATAGATCAATTGCAGAAAARTTTCCATTCGAAACATTGTGTCTAGTGGGATCGTTATTGTTCAGTAGGATGAGTGCTTCGTCTTCTAGAAATTCTTCGATCATATGTCCTCGGTGGTCTGTGTGGGTACATCCCTATGCGGTATTTCGGCTATTAAAGTCGCCAAAAGGATGAAAGGTTTAGGGAGCTGATTTATGATGTTCTTTAGGTGTTGTTTTGTGAGAATTTTGTTATCTGGAATATATATGTTACATATACTTAAAGGTTTGTGAAATTTAACTAGAGTAGCGATGACTTCGAGTTCAGAGAGAATCGGAATATTTTCGCTGTCGATAGTGTCTTTAATGAAAGTAGCTACTCCTCCGCTTGCCCTGAGGGCATGATTTCAGTTTTTGAAATATCCTTTRTAGTTTTTGATAGATGCAGAGTGGTTATTCTTTAAGTTGGTTTCTTGAAAACATAATATTGTGGGTTGTAGGTCATAGATGATGCGAGAGATGCCGACTGGACGTTTATAGAAACCGTTGATGTTCCATTGAATGAATGATGTCATAAGAAAAGGTTTTTTTTTTTTTTATTTATTTATTTGTATAGTTTTGGAAATAAGTTTTGTGATGGAGGAAAGCTTTGGAAAAGGAGGTTATAAAGTTTAGTGATTTTGGTTTTTATGCTGCGATCTGTCAACTTTGGTCTGATTATTTCAATTAATTTGTGTAGATCGACTGCGTTAGATCCAGCTTGTTTACACAGGTCATGAATGTTGATATTTTTGTTTGAAAAATTTTCAATTACGTATCTGAGAGTATCTTTATTTATAGATAGGTGTTTATTTTGGTGAATAATTTCTGATACTATTTCAAGTTGTTCGTCAAGTTTTTTGGTAGTGCTACCTGTGGAGGAGGAAGATTTAGATCGGATTTTAGCTTTTTTGGGAGCTTTATCTTTTATTTTTGGCTGTTTTGAAGCTAATGTATCTTGTGTTTCCATATGAATGGGAGGTGACTTCGGAGAAAGAGGTGATGATGGTCTTGTGGATTCGGGCGCAGATCTTTTGTAGTTGGCTTGAGACTCTTGTAAGTCCAACATAAATGCATGGGATGTGACTGAGGGTTCATTWGAGGGTTCCATACTCTCTTGTATAGTATGTGAGTGATTGGAAGTCGTCTCGCTTAGGTTGGTCGTCTCGTTGTYATTCAAGGTTTTCTCAGTGGTTTGGTGGGTTGAGGCATTTTCGGCTGAGTTTTCTATAGGAGTGGCAATATTTTCGGATGATGGTAGGTCGACGTGTGTCGTTTTAATTTGGTTGATCGTCATATTTTTATCTGGGTTTGTTATTTCGGCGGTGTGTTCGTTTGAGGTGTCCATATTTTCGGGCGGAAAGGAATAAACCGTMTTACATGCAGATAAGGCATGGCCTGTTTTTTTTACATAGAAAGCATGTTACAATATCGTCGGTAATAAAAACACGGTAAGTAGTATTCTCTGAGGAGATTGCAATCGATCTGKGAAGTTTTGAGAAGTCGTCAGGATTTATATATAGCTGTCTTCGGAAACTAGTGATGTGCGCAAATTGATCTAGTTGAAAGCCAGCCTTGAGTGTAGTAATTGGTGATGTTATTTTTACACCGAGATTCACAAGCGCATCAGTGATGATGTTGTTCGAAATGGCGGGATAGACGTTCGATAGTATAATGCGTTTAGATGGATTAATTAATTTGCGTATCGGCACTCTTATGTTATCTATAAAGATTTCCAAATGATTGTTAATTAGGTCGTCAACTATTTGTTGACTTTTGAGGAAAATGCAGAATCTATTATTAGATATGCACGATGTAGATATAATATTTAATGCTTCGGTAATTTGGTTCAGTGCGATAATATATTGGATTTGTTTGATGTCATCAAGTGAGTTGAGTACTATGGCTTGGTTCATTTTAGGTAGTATTGAGTTAGCTGTCGTTTCCGCAAAACTTTTGACGTGCATGTTTTCTTTAGGAACTTCAGAAGAGATGGGTTCATTGGAGATTTGTTGAGATATTGGTGAAGGTTTATCAATTTTTGCAGCTACTTTGTTAGAAGCTAACAGTTTATCGTTGAGAGTTGACTTGGTGGGGTTTTTATGTTCGGTGGTTAACGMGTATGGTGGATTAGATAGGTTGTTACTCATAATCAGAGCTCACCGTTGAGCTTGTGGGTGTGTATTATTATATTAATTTCCGATAAGCAGTTAGTTAYATAAATAAGGTATAAACATATTACCGGTTGGGTCCCGTGCTGTGTTGTCTATCGGAAGATAAAAATACGGGCGCGATAACGGAACACGCGTGTTGCTCGGACGGGAGTCGAACACGAACTGGAACTCATAATTAAAACGARTATTTACAATTTGATTTTTACTCTCTAGGTACCTGTAGAAAATATCATTACATAACTATAATAAGCAATTGAAATTCAAAACATATTCACTTTTAATAACATAAATCTGATAAAAAAAGTTAGATAATAGCATAAAACTATAGAAATAAGTACACATTTTTAAACAAATTGAGTATTATTGGAATAATTTTCTAAATACTAAATAATTAATTTCCTTATGATTCATATTACAATATCCCTATTTTTTACATTACAAAAATGATAAATTAGCAATAATATTAATGTTTYCTAAAAGTACAAATGTATTAAACAAATCATTTACATGAAAAAATAAATTTTGTATGAAACGTATAAATTCTTATTTTATAAAAGGTTTGATTATTTCAATGGTTTTCGAATAACAAATTAAGTTGCATCTTTGCTTATTTGTCTTAATATACTTTTATTTATAGATTTATAAATAATTTTTAAAATTTTTTTTTTATGTACCTATTCTTGTAAAATATTCATATATTTTAAAAAATATAACACGTTTGATAATCCGAGAAAATAAAATAGTAAATAATTTAAAAAAATGTAATTGTTATAAATGATAATACAAAGCCAATGAAAAATAAAATAATTTGACTAGTGGGTATACAGTGTTCAGTACATTGGATAATATATATTGATACAAAGAGAAGAATGATGGTTTTAGAAACAATATTGCTTGAAATAAAATAAGGAAATAATAAGAAAGGTAAGAAAAAAATAGTCGGTATCATAAATTGAAATACAGTTTTGTTTTATAAAGTTTATATTCAGGGCTACAACAATAAACATACATCATGTTATCGAATATTCAAATTTATAAGAGAAAGGTTGCGAATTCATGATTTAAAATGTAAATATTTCGGTATCTCAAAATACAAATTAAAGCAATACTGTATTTATGGTAAATTTTGTGTTTGAGCGAATTAAAATACAAAATGTATTAAAAAAATTATATATATATGTATAAGGAAAATGTTTACTGATTAGATGTTTTACATGCATTGCCTCAGAATTTGATTGACTACTTATTTAAAAATATAATGATGCACGTTACAAACCACCTGTTAAATAGTTAACTAAAACTTTTTACCAAACACTGAGACTAAATTAAAAAGTTTAAACCACTAAAGCTTCAAATAATATTTGAATCTATTTATGTACCTAAAAGATAAAAGATCAAACTTAAAATATCAAAAAACTATCTGTTGAAGTTTTGTTAAACATTTCATTATGTTTGTTTCAGAAATAAATATCAGCACACATTTATAAKGACATAATGTATATTTTTTGAAATATGACGTACAGACAAGTTTTCTCGTCAGTATTATTTAACCTTTTCAGACCTATAATTATATAAGTGAATAAAAAAATCGTTATGCTTATAACTTTGTGGTGATAATTTACAATGTCTAAATGAATTAACATCTTTACCCACATTACTAAACTTTAGCCATAGTCAAGACTTCAAGAGCTACAATGACATGTATCATAATTCATGTTCTCATTTWTCATAATACCTATATCTAACTAAATAGAACCTTACTCGCAGCTACATACCAAAGGCAATCATACACTCCACTCATATAATTATACCTACACCCTCTTCTTGATCACTTGTATTTGTTTGCTTAGCGATCTACACGTCATACATAGATCTCCTGATATTTTCTATGGATTGTTGATATCTCAATAAGAATTAACTTACAAATGCTTACAAATGAATATTTTATATTTACAATTATTGATCTATTTCGAATTTTTCAATATAGAGGGGACCAATTCCACACATATTTGATAAGAGAAGAATACACGTAAACACTTATTAAGCTCATATTAATATCGTATAACA